AGAAACAAATGTTACTAAAATGTCATACAAAAAATGCAAATAATAATAACAAAATAGTTGAACTCAGAACTGTACCCAAGGTAGAAGGAAGGAGTGGAGAAGTTTCTTCTGTGTACATGAATCAGGGTTCTGCATCCGAATCGCTAAAATCTCAGCGATGCAAAGTATGTGGAAGGTTACTGTTTTCAGAAGGCTTCTTTTGACTTTGAATAAATTCTTCTTATATATTGAGTGACCAGTGTTGAATGTATGTTCAATTATAGCACTCCTTATTGATCCACTGTTACCCATTTCGTAGCCAAGCGGGATAATGTTGTTTGACTGTTCAACATAAAACACTCATCGAAAGAGCTATCTGTTTCGCTCCACATGAGCAAGTGAATAGGTTTTTTTATTCCTTTAAGTTCCCAGTGGAACATAGGGTTTCAATCTAGAGAATTGAAGTTTCTGTAGCAGTGGTGTTTATTTTTATAGGAAGGGGTTGCTAGCCTCATGCCCAACCTTCCTTCTCTACCAGTCTTATTACTGACTTAGCGAGGTGAAGGGGTGCGTCGGCCAGGGATCGAACCCCAGACCACATGTGTGGTCGGCGAGCATTCTACTGCTGTGAAACCGATGCACTTAAATGGAGTGAATGGTACGAAGCTACCATCTGAGGAATTAAGACTGAACGCATCTAAGTCTGAATCCCGTCCATATTTCCAACTGAACTGGTAGATACACACACTCTGGTGTCACCGAGTCTCTACTTTCTAATTTTGTTAATTTTCACATTCTACCTGTTCTAGTTTATTGTTACCCCTCACCTTAATCTTTCCTGGGCTACTTAAAAAACATTTTGTTACACTGCCAAGGGCATTAAAATCTGCCGATAATGCGAGTGGGGTGTCGTTTAACCAACTTGTTGAGCTGTTGTGGACAGAAACATGGACTTCTGCAAGAAATTAGCTAGTATAATCTTGTTGGGCTCTGAGGATTCTCTTTGTGTGCAGCTCTCACCTCGTATCTCATCTGACCCAGCTGGAATCAATTATAACAGTAGTAATGCTCAAACGACGATACCTTATTTTCCACAGTTTCTATGTGGTGAGAAAAGGGTTAGGACTGAAACTACAAACTTATTGATAAACACTAAGTAAACGGCCCTTTTTATTCTTCCTTTCATTAATATACTACTGTCATTATTGCAATTAACCTTTAAATTTTACATTTCTATTCATAACTGACATTATTGTTCTGTACTATGCAAATGCAAAGAGAAAATTAGATGCAGTAATGCACTACATGCTGAAAATTCCACACTGTATCACACTGACTGTTTGGAGTAAAATCATGTTATGATTATTATTATTATTAATACTGTACGATGAAAAATGGAAGTAATGAAGAGGAGTTAAGCGAAAATAAGTTTCCTTGTCGATAAAGTCATCTGAAAAATATGTAAAACTTTATTTATATCTGCTAAGACATATATCAGTCTGTGATTTAGTGCATTAGTGGTGAATGAGACATAGCTGGTAATGTTACTCATCTTGCAGGAGCCACGCTTTTGCAGACACAGCGCTGAACAAATCTGTAATAGTTTTCAAGAGAGCCTTGTCAATCAATTATAAGTTTAAGTCTCGAGTATCTGGTAGACGCATGCCAAAACGTAGTGAGAAACATGGAATCGTTGTGGTCTGAACTCAGGAAAGCGATCTCTGCATCCTACTGTATGACTTATCAAATTTCCTTGAGGAACACAGAGTCACGGAACTCTCCAAAATAAGTACTAAGAGTCACATTGAGTATTCCTGACAAGGTATGGTCAGGATAATCACACACCAACACTTTCAGTAGGCAGTCCAAGGTCAATATGACCTTGACTCAAACAAAATCACATCATAAAACAACACATTATCAATGTATCGCACAGCCACAAAGGAGTTAATTAAAATTAGAGATTAAACAGAAAAAAAACGAGAAATAATAAGTATGAAGTCAACATATGATATGCAAATATCAGAACATTGATATACAGTTTAGAAGAAAAGAGGATTAGTACCGTTTCTCTGTGTTGTGACAAGGAAAATATAGGGCTTTGACGGTACGTCTCCACTTTGTCCTATTCGCTGCGTTCCTCTTTAGCTGGCCCCACCACTGCTCTTAATCTCTGGTTTTCCAATTTCAATATCTCCTCTATGTCACCCTCGGATTCCCGCTAGTCATTTCTGGTCCGGGTTCTACACTAGGCTGCCTAGGACTTGACGCCACATGACGGTCTCCTGGGTGTGCATCTAATCCATCTCCATTTCATAGGAATATTTGTTGAGCGACAGGTTCTTGACCGTGTATTTTCAATGGTTTTCTGCTGATGATTCTTTCTTGCCGGCAATGTGATCTTCAGTACTGAGCAAGTTAGGACAGCTGTTGATTGAAGTCTGCCTCCTGTTGTTGGAAATGCCTTCCTTGATGCGTTGGTCAAATTTCTAACCTAATAGACGAAGCAACTTAACATTGGTAATGGAAATGCGAATTCTGTTTCTTATGGTGAGTTCGGAAGATTTCCAAACTGATTTTAGAGTGATGAAGGTCTGGCTTGCCTTTCCGACCCTGTCTAGCCTTGACGCTGTGATCCGTGTCGACTGCCTATAATTGAAACAATGCCTCTAAGATAAACAAAGGAAGCGACCTCTCTCAAATCTCTCCAGTTGATACTGACTAGTGTTTATTGTTGTTGGTTGGTTGTCTTCATCACCTCTGTCTTTTCAGTGTTCACTTGAAATCCTGCCTTTGCTACTTTTTCAGCCATTTTTCCGGTTTCCATCTGTTATTCTTTGAATTTGTGTGATACTAAACATGAATCATCCACGAAGTCCAGATCCTCTAGAGTCTTCTTGTCGGTCCAGCATATAATCATTATAATATATAACACTAATAAAGTTAGGAGGAACATCGGAATAAGTGAAAATATTGTAACTGGATAGTTCTGGAGGGATTTTCCAAACACTCATTCCTTTCCACAAACATGTTCACTGAATACCTCTGTCAAATTTTTTCTATGGTTAATTCTGTACATTTATCTGTTAGAGTCCGACCTTACAAACACATTGTGTCGAATACTATGATAATCAGAATTTTCTATACACCGAAATTACAAACTTTTGTTTTCATGAATTATCTTGAGGGATAAATCTAAATGAACTATTAGGTGCCTGGCTTCCCAAATTTCACAGTACAAAGTGGTTACTTCAGTAGCACTTAAAATTTACCCCAGAAAGAAATACAACTGTCGAAGCGATGACAATTAACTGTTGAAATTTGTACATTTCTCACTATACCTAGCCTCGATAGTGATTTTCATATCATTTAGGTGTAATTCCTGGATGGAATAGAGGATACTATCTTGTCCTATGTGGAATCATCACACTTTATAAGGAAAGTGAACATAATAGATGAATCCGAAATAGGATGAAATACACATTTGCTATTTTTCCGCTAAGAACCACGATCTATGAAATAACACCATGGTTATAGCAAAGCAAAAAATCAATCATAACTTGCTAATCTAACCAAACATGTCGTGGGAAAATACTGTTAAAGAGGCCCAAACTAGGACGAAACAGTTGTGCAGTACTCTAATTCTGGTTTTCAGCATTTCTGTAAAAGACATCAGTCCGCGATCAAACTTAGTACTCTCGAAGGTGAATCTGGTGGTGCCTTAGTGATTATCTACAAAACAAAGTTTCCTGGAGTTCCAGTGGGAAGCTTTGATCACTGAAGTCCACCAGATTGGGCGTCAGGACGAATACTCACCGCTGACATTGGTTGATGTCAGTCACGCTAAAATCACGAACTGGCAGAAACTGGAATTCATAAGATAGCCATTGCATTAGGTCCCGGTGACTGGATGGCCTACGCGCTCGCCTTATAACTGAATAAACTTTGTTTTGAAGCTTGGCAGTCTTTTACTGATGAAGATTACTTAATTTACTTTACTTCGGCTATCTCCTACGGGAGGATGGGCCGGCTTCATGAACATCTCGAATCATCGCTGCCCAGGCGCGGCGATCTGCAAGGTTTTGCGACAGGGTTATCCAATTCTTGTTCCACAGACGGAGTCCGTAGACGGTTTGTAGCCCTAAGAGTTCATGAAGTTTCATGGGAATTTGGTACGAGTGATGTCCCCAGAATCGCTCGGCCTTTGTTTGAGAGTACAGCTCTAGTCTAGCCTTTACACAACCAAGTGTGACCTACAAGGCAGTAGGAGTGGAGTAGGGAGTCCACTATCCATTGGCAGCCGGTGACCGGAGTTCGGTTCATACGCCTTTTTGAATGGGGCCAGACATCCAGGACATCCAACAAGCCCTTTGTCCAAACGTCTGCCGGTGAGCTCCAGTGAGCTTCATACGCCAGTCATTGGAGGTTTGGAATCAGGGTTTAGCCATCTCCCCTAGACTGTCATCCAATGGACAGTCAACCCGGTGAAGAGCGCCGGGCATCCGCTTTCGCCCTCTCACTTTGGTGAAAAAACACCTCCGCCACGTGAAGGCAGTTAGTAGGACTTCCTCAGGAGAGGCTATGTAAGACGCCCGGTCGTATGAGAGCATTTCAAGAGGTGTGCGGAGGAGTGGCCAACCCGCAGCGCAAGGCACCCACGCCCGACCATCCTGATGAAGATTCCCAGACTAGGAGGAAACAGCTGTCAATATTCACTGGTTTTCAATGGTTCTCCAACTGATATCAGTACGCGATCAAACCCGTAACAAATTAAAACCGTAGAAAGTAACTTCTGACAGAATTTTGTTTATTTTCTTATATTCAACTATCACGTATGCACAATACCAAGGGAGAATACATAAGGAATGAACACTAATCATATATGCTATGATATTAAAAAGACGTAGGTTAGCAAAGAATGCTGTTTTTTGACCTATATCTTCTCAGTTTATATATATCACATGAATGTTGTTCATATCGTAATAAAAAGGATGTTATTTTTCTTTGCTTTTCTCCCCTAGGTGGCTGTTGAAGTCCGAGTGGTATTTTTGAAAATAGGTGAAATTGATACACTGAAAGAATTATACTATGCAGATGCATTTCTACAAGCCAAATGGAGAGAACCTAGACTTGATGGACATACAGCAGAGGTAGGAGTGAACTTTCATTTGACATTTAACTGTTAAACAAATTGTGATTGACATAATCTGTAAGGTGTGGTGTGATAATTATCAGAAGAAATTTGACTGATTTAATTGTGGAGGGATGTGGGCGATCGTTTGATATATATATATATATATTATTACCCATGGGTACGGAGTGGGACACAGGGCTTCAACAGAACGTCTCCATTATCCCTCTTCAACTGGCCCCACGATTGCCCATATACTTTCATCTCCTCCATGTTACCATTGAAAATATGCCCATCTTTTCGTTTCCCATTCTGCTACAATCGAAGCTATTGCCTTGCACCTGATGTCATTCGATCGTCTCCTCAGCGTGTGTCCAATCTATCTCCATTGTCATCAGAATATTTGTTCTGCAATAGGTTCTTGATTGGTTCGTTCCCAGATTTCTTTTTCGCTTATTTATCCAGGCCGACTAATCTTCACTATGAAACGAAGTCTGCAACCTGTTAGAAATGCTCTTCATGATGTATGAACTAAGTATTTGACGCATACACAAGAAGTGACTGACTTACAATGTAAGTGTAGAACTTGGGCACTGTGGTAGAATATAATTCTATATTAGATAAGTGCATTTTAATAATCACACAATGATGCAGTATTAACAACTGGATGATGTTTTGAGTATAAATTATTGCTCATATTCATGTCAATATAGTCGCACGTTTTCACTTGTTGTTTGTTGCCACTTTCCATATCTCCCGTATAGGCGCTGCGTCATCCCGATTGCATGCGTGCAGTGTTGATTCGATGAACAAAGATTCGGTAATTAATTTCTCTATCTATCTGTCTCTATCTCCACCGAACTTTTAATACTGTCATCGTGTCCCTATTTTGTGATTACATATAAGTGAATGTAGTGCAATGGTTGAGCTTTTTTCTAGGAGAGACAAAGAGAAAAAGAATGTATAAGACAAACTGTGAAAACGTGTGACTAAATTGATATGATTATGAGCAATAACATATTCTCGAAACCTAGTCATCCAGCTGTTAATACTGCGTCACAGTATGATCATTAAAATAAACTTATTTAATATGGAATAACTTAACATGGATACTGAAAATTCGATTTTGTTGTTTATGCTGTGTGCAGAAGATTCCCATACTGATTACAGAGTGACGAAGCTGTGCCTTGATTTTCCAATTCTGGTTTCTTCATCCTCATCCGTGCTGTTGCCTGTAGCTGAAGTCTCATACTTGTCTCAATGACAGTGATTGATGGTTGATGGATTTCGCCATCACCATTATATTCTTCATTTTCGCTTGGAGTCCTGTTTTTGCCGCCTATCTCTTCTACAACTTTATTGATTTTAGTCCGCAAGTTTTGGAGTTTGTATGAGATTAGACATTCATCGCATGTGATGTCCACTTTTTCTAGAGTCCAATGTATTCCTTTCGTCTCGCTCCCCACGTATGGCACGAATATCATCGTGGGTGATTGTAGGCAACCTTCTCATACTCCTGTTTTCACTTCATAGGCAGGCTTCGCTGAGTTTTCCATTGTCGACCACTTGTCAATCATGTATAAATTAAGCGTTGGTGACATGACGGTTAGGACTCTCGTCGACCATTCACATGGTCCGGGGTTCAATAACCTGCGACGCACACCTGATATCAATGGTCGGCCTGAGAATTTCGTGCTACCGATATCACATGCTGAGAATGCCATACTTGTACCGAAAATACTATGTGGAATCAATCTATAATAAAAATAATAAATAATAATAAATAAAATAGAATATTTAATTAACAGTTATGTGGAAGAAATTACTATTTCCCCTTAAATTCTTTATATAAATACTGCTATTAGATAAATTATAATAATAGTAATAATAGTAACAGCAATAATAATAATGAAACCTTTTGCATTCACGACCTCATCTCAGTAGGAATCACAAAATAGGTGCAATTTTGCACTTTGCCTAAACTTTATTATTCATGGGAAAAAGCCGCTTATATTTCTACTAGATAATATGCTTAGCTGATAAATTGAATGGTATGATGTTTATCCTCAGAAGCGTGTGAGAGAAAACAGCTGCTTGCAAAGCCATTGTCAACAAATATAGTAGAATTCGAGTGTTAAACGCTTGAGAAAATGCAATACGTTCACTTCTGGTTTTCACAGTGTATGAAATTGCAAGCATGTTCAACAAAACGTTTAGCTTAGTATTAACTAGGATTTAACCTGCATCAGTGAAGCAAAACTGATGGGCTACGTCAATATGTTGTCTACATTGACACTGGATGAGTGGTTTACGAGTAGAATGCTCACCAGGTTTGTAGGAGGTACCGGCTCGAACCTTGGCCAGTTGGTAGGAAGTGGAAATGTTGGGTGTGAGGCTAGCAGTGCTACACCGTAAAAAGAAAGATTGGAGGCCTATGTTCCACTGTGAACTCAAGGAACCGAAAACAAAAGGCAAACAGCTGAAGCAACCTTCATAAAATGTCCCAAGCTCAAAACTACATTGTAAAAAGAAGGATGCGTTATAATCCTTCAAACTCCTGGATAACATACTTCCTATTCATCTTAACAATTTATTTTACATGCTTTCATGGCGTTGTTATGATAGTTGTCTTCTTGGCTTCCGAGTGGAGTAAAGGGCTTCAGCAGCACATCCCCACTTTGTCCTATCCTATGCTACCCTCTTTAGCTCGCTCCGCGACCATCCATAGTCTCTCATCGTTTTTTCTCATGGTCTCCTGCATGTCACTCTCGGGGTGATACCTTGCCCGTCTCTTCCAGTTTGCCTTTCACTCAGGGAACTACACTGCGCGCGATGTTATTTAACAGTTTTCTCAGCATGTTTCCGATCCATTTATATTTTTATCAGGATTTTAAATGAGCGATAGGTTGTTGATTAGTTCGTTTGCAGAGTTTCTTGTTTCCACTTCTTTCTCGCTATTTGATCTTCAGTGAGGAGCCAGAAAATGCAACTGTTGATGAAATTCTGAAGTAGCCTCAAGGAAATGCTTTTCGTGACACATCAAGCTTGTGTTATATTCGATATATTTCCTATTGTGAGAAATGTATTTGTAATAACATTTCGATGTGATACTTTGACCTGTTTACATAAAAATAGTAATGATAGTAACAATTCGTTCCAAGTTAACTTACGATCTGACCACCATTAGTTAAAGAGCCATTAAGAACCAGGGAGTACTGGGCAGCTGTTTCAATCCATGCTGTAACTCTTTGGCAGTATGCGACCATTGTACCAAACGGCATCAAGTCACTCTGAACATTTAGGTTACGAGGTGAGACCGTTGACCATGAATTACAAATTCTATCATTCGTGATATATAAAGCCAACACTTAATAATGAGACACACAAAGTCGGGTGACATTTATTGCTAGTGGTTGTCTTGTTACTTACATTAAGGATTGGCGTTCCATCATATTTTAGCCAATGATTCAACGAAGAGAGAGTAAGTACGTGGACTGTCTTATTGAGTCATTGCATCACCCTTTCAGGGAGTTACTAGTGCCTGCGTAACAACGTGCATTTAGGTGTTCTAGTTAACCAATTTGCAATGATCGATCAAATTGATACATGTGTGTGACTCTGTAGTAATTATTAAATTGAATCATCTCGTATGAAAATAAAAGACAGATTCAGCGAAGAAAATTTTCTTTATCGACGAAATCATCTTCAGAGGCTGTACAATCGTATTTATACTTACAGAAATATATAGTGGTCTATTATTGAGTAATAGGGGGTGACATAATTGATATAATTACTCAGAAGTGAAAATTAGAAGTTGAAAATTACGTGGTACTCAACGGCAAAAAGATAGAAATTTGACAAGGTTAAAATTGCTATTAAGTGAGAATAAAGGTATTTGAGTGTCAATTTAACAATTGTGAAGAGGGTGTGAAAATATACAAAAGGAGCATATGAGAGTGATAATAGTGAATTAATTATTAAAGCAAAAGCTAACTAAAAGTGAAATTAGAATGTAAAGAAAAGAAAAAATCAAAAAATGTTTTATTTACAAGGAACGATTAGTGAAGAGGTTAAGACCAAGGTAGAATAAGAGACTGGACAAACTTTTTCTGTATACAGAGTTCAGGGTTGTATTGATGAATTGAGCTAGCTCAATTCTCGAGCATTTGGTGAACTCAGGCCACGTGGCTCCACCAGAATCCTCTTTCAAGATCATCTACAAAGTGAAGCCAAATGGTACAAAGGGCGTCAGGTTTCGGCTTTTGTGTATGGCGGAGGCTCTAGCAATTCATCAATACAACCCTGAACTCTGTATACAGAAAAAGTTTGTCCAGTCTCTTATTCTACCTTGGTCTTAACCTCTTCACTAATCGTTCCTTGTAAATAAAACATTTTTTGATTTTTTCTTTTCTTTACATTCTAATTTCACTTTTAGTTAGCTTTTGCTTTAATAATTAATTCACTATTATCACTCTCATATGCTCCTTTTGTATATTTTCACACCCTCTTCACAATTGTTAAATTGACACTCAAATACCTTTATTCTCACTTAATAGCAATTTTAACCTTGTCAAATTTCTATCTTTTTGCCGTTGAGTACCACGTAATTTTCAACTTCTAATTTTCACTTCTGAGTAATTATATCAATTATGTCACCCCCTATTACTCAATAATAGACCACTATATATTTCTGTAAGTATAAATACGATTGTACAGCCTCTGAAGATGATTTCGTCGATAAAGAAAATTTTCTTCGCTGAATCCATCTCGTATGAATAAGTTTGTAGATTAAGGCCGAGTCCTTCAAAGTGTTTCTAGTCACATCTTCTGTTCACAACAGACGCTCTTTATATCCACAAGGAAGCGATTTATCCAATCCCTTTTACTACCGTATCTTTAAACTTTCATTTTATGACTTTTACACTAGTTTAGTATGTAATCCATTACATTCCTGCACTCTTATTCTTTTCTTTCAAACTTCTAAGTGTAGAATATGCCTTTTACATAGTCTCAGTCCCTTTCTTTTATGAACAATATTCTTGATTCCATGCGCTTGCGGTTCTCAGTGATCTTTGTTTATGAACCATATTGATCACTTTATGTTTTTAAATTAAATAAGTCCAATTAACGAAGATAGTTTTTCATTTTATTCGATATACTACTGATGGATTGTTGTGAGTAGTTGTACACCACTCATAACAACAAATAGTGTTTTTTCTAGACAGATTAACGAAGTCATCCAAACACACTGTACAGCCGTTCCTCTCGTTCGGGATCAAGCTCATCTGTTAGCAGCATAGCCGGTGTCATTCATTTCAGACGATCAAAACAGCATAGAACTGCTCATTTCCCACTTTCTTGATTACCATTCCAGGTATCAAGCAGATCATATATTTCAGTTTCAAAAAGAAACTGTGGTGAGATTTCACCTTAAACTTTTGAAATTACAAACTGTGAATTCAATTTATTTCATTCTGGTCATATTTCTTCCATGATGCGTAATTTAGTGCGTTTTCTTAGCAATCGATATTGTAGTTTGACCTTTAAAAGCTTCCTGTGGTCTTTTAGAAAACTATACAGCAGTACAGATTTGAAGTGAAGTTATAGAATGAATGTTTGTCATTTTACATGGAAGACGTCAACCATGAATGATCATCCTATTTCAGTTTCACTTTCTGTTTGCTTCCAGACAGTCCTTTACGTTGCCTTAGTCTTATAGCACATACACTTGCAGAGGATTCTCCTTAAAAAGGTTGAATTCATAGGGATTAAAGAGATCACCTATATTATACAGAGGAGTTGTAGTATTTAAAGTAGCATCCACAAGAATCATTATTTTTCCCTTGAGTCCGGATGGGTACGAAAGGCTTAAACAGCATGTCTCCACTTTCTTCTATTGTCTTCAGTTCTCTTCAGTTGGCCCCACGACTGTCAGTAGAATTTCCTCTCCTCCTTAAACGAGTTTCTCCATAGCACACTCGAACCGCTGCCCAACTCATCGCTTATTACTTATGTTCCACTCGAGTGACTGGCACGTAGTGTTAATCAACGGTCTTCTCAGTATGTTTCCGATGCACCACCATTTCCTTCGGCATATATGTTGAGCAATAGGTTATTGATCGGTCCATTCCCAGAGTTTCTTGTTGATAGTCCCTTCTTGTGTGCCATCTGTTATTCAATATGGAGCGAAGGCTGCTCTTGATAAAGATAATCAGACTGTTAGAAATGCTTTCCTTGACGTGTGGGCCAAGTTTCTGACGCATTTCGAAGAAATGACTTAACACTGGTGTTGAAAATTCAAAATATTTTTCTATATTCTTGATAACAAGAATAAATACCTTTTTTTAAATCATCCTTTTACTTCTTAGGAATTAAGTATCACCGAATTGGAGCAATACTGGAATCCCTTACTGTATATTGACAATATCCTGAGTGAAACAAAAGAAACCCAGTGGATAATGGCTGTTAGAAGTGAAAGCGGAGAAGTCTACCTTATAGAACGTAGACGAATAAAGGGTGTATTTTTAGAAACTCTGGAATTAAATGACTTCCCTTTAGATGTACAGGTTAGTTGTTTTCAGAATGTACTTTTTTAGATACAGTATGTGCCTGTTTTCATATGCATGCATATATGTAAAATTGATGCTGATAAGGATTGTGGCAAAGTTAAACCATAGCCCCCAATAAACTACAATGACCTTGAACGACCAATCAGAATTCAGATGGAATAAAGTTGCATAATAGTCAAAAAATGCACTAAAACATCGCAAACATCATATTATACTACATATTTATCTCTTATGTGTTGTGAGAATTTTTCCCAGTCACTGCACAGATGATCTACAAAGAAATCATACCATACACGATAGATGCATTCATCCAGGTGACTGCTGGTCATGGTACTTTGAGATCCATTGATATTTATGACACTATTATTAGACCTTCTCCTAACTCTAAGCCTGATCCTAACGTTAACCCCACACCCTAAGCCATAACCCTACCTAACAGTATAGATTTACGGAAAAAGTACCTAAAGGATAATTGGAATACTGTATCTCTAAGACAAACAAGATTTTATTTGGGATGACCTTTCATAGCATTTCCTGTGTCTGATTGGTTCTTGAAGGTCAAATCTCGAAAGACCTTGGCTTTAGCTATTGTACTTTAACTTTGCCAGAATTGTTTTGGTAAGTGGCTAATAAAAGTCCTGAAATGAATTCGACAATTTTTCATAAACCTAAGAAGAGGTATGTAAACATTCCGCAGTTTTTATGTGACAAATACAGAGAGAAAACGATTATAGGGTTACAATAGGTGGTCAGCGTAAAACACAGGCTACTGAAGAATCTTCATCAAGTATTGCATATCATGTCGCTTTTTGAATTTATTTAAATCTTCTAAAATGTGACCTCTTATAGTACTGTTTACTCTGCTGAGTATTTAAAACATTTATAACCCGCTGATTCGCAAGTTTCTAGTAAACAATACGTAGGAAAGCATTTTCCTCAACGGTAGCTTATCTGAATACATAAGATGACCGCTTTGGAGTGGTGTCCTTGGTTCACAGAATGTACTTATGAACTTTTTATAATTGGTATTGGTCGTCATGTGTTTCTCGAAGGAGACAAGGAAGAGATATCATAATGGGGATTGGTTTGCGCTTCAGGACAGCTAGAACTGTGTCAAACGATCTAATGTCAATCAATTCTTTTATTATTTGAAGATGCTGGACAAAGAGAAAATATCATGCAGTAGACTACACTTAAAATTCTATATATTACATAAACATTGTTCAGAATAAAGCTATTACTATTACTATTATATTACCGTACCTTTGACTCATTATGTTACAGCAACTGAAATTTATCGCTCCTGGATTTTGTATGATGCCTTCTTAGGTCAGCATTTACTTTTCCACAGGTTAATAGGTTCATGGGGCTTCCGTGACGGATTTATGTAACATTTATTCCACTGTTTTTAGCTCTTCGATACTTTCTGACGGATATAGGTACTTCTCAAAGAAAGACTTCCACTGCAGCAACCACCAGTGTAAATTCTCTTCCGAAATAATGCAAGAGAAGCTTCTTCCCTACAGGGTATTTTATTTCCAGGATAATCCAAGTAGATATCAAGGAAATTTCCCTGATAAGTCAGAAGACTGAACAAGCAGGATAGTTTACCTAGAGGACTGCAACTTTTATGAATACTAGACATATGCATAAATTATATTTGCAAAATGTCAGCGAAATTGAAACTAGTAATTCCAACGTTTGGTTTGGTAAAATGTTGTGAACTTCATCAGGGAAATTAATAGAAAATAAAATAACAAAGATTTTGATTGTACACTGATCGGTGTGTGTCTAGTCAATTGTTTGGTGAAGACTGTATTATATCAGGCAATGTGGCCAGCATTCTAGGTGGCTCACTGTCGCGGTACATTGAAATAGGAATTGTTGACATTAGATGGATTGTGGCAGTTGGCGGAAAGCCTCAGACCAAGGTTTCGTGCTGGTTAGCAAAGCGTATATGCACTTTTGAAGGAACACATGTCCTTTCCGAGATTTCAAACCATCTCACCCAGTGCTGCAGAAACAGACACTGCCACTGAGCTATTCGAGCTCGCAGTTGACACCCTGTAAGCGTGTACTAAATACTTCGATTGGACGCTGATCATTGTTAACGTCTTTTACTGCAGCACTGGGTAACGTGGATTCGAATCTCTGAAGACATATGAGTTCCTTCAAGGTTGCAGACATGCCTTGTTGACTAGAATCAACTAGCACGAAACCTAAGTCCGAGGCTTCTCGCTAATTGCCTCACATCATCTAGAAGAACAAAGGTTTGCACATATAAAAAGGACATCTTTTGTTTTTAAAAGCTTTGCCCAACCATATGAGCAACGAAACAGGTATAAAAATATCATAAACAAAACTGCATGAAGTGTGATCAAAATTTCACCCGACTTACAAATATTTGCCAGACCACCACCCAATGTCATCGCTGGGAAATCCATCCATACTCCCGACTGAAATCACCTCACATTCACGACTTCTCGCTAGAACTCCAGAAACCTCCGTCCCGCTGCAAGTCACCAGTGAGTATCAGATTAACTTTCAAGGGTTGATTTGTGATGATTTGGTTTGTTTTTACGACTTTGACCACGAAGTGATATCAGTTAGAGAACCACTGAAAACCAGGGAGTGCTGGACAGTTGTGATCAACTCGTAAAAGCGAATCTAATCCTTACAAACCAACTACTGAAAATTAATTTGATGGTCACTAGTGACTTGCTACAGGACGGAGTTCCCTGGATTTCTAGTGAGACGTCGTGACCATTGAGGTCCAACCAGTCAAAAGTGAGGATGGATTTTCCACCGATGACACTGGTTTGTGGTTTCGCTAAAATCACGAATTGGTAGAAGTTAGAATTCATGGACTGGCCATTGAATTGGGTCCCAGTGGCTGAATGATATACAAACTAGCTTGCCTTGTACCCGGAAGGTGCTAGGTCCGAATCCTGGTGATGGGTGCGTACTGCCGATGATTCCCAAACTAAGATGAAACAGCTGTCCAGTACTCTGCTAGATTTCAATGGTTCTCTAACTGATGACAGTCCGTGGTCAAACTCGTAAAAACAAACCAAATCCTTACAAATCAACCCCTGAAAATTACAAATATTAGTCTACTTTTGTAAAATATTGTAAACAGTGTGTTCTTTTTCATCTTAATTAACCTCAATATTGTCTGGTTTGATACTACTCTATGTCACTTAAATTTGTGCCACTGATAGACAGAAGGAAACGGTAAGTGAAGTAACATCAGATTACATATACATGAAATCAGGTTAACTTTGAACTTCGTAAGACAATGTCAATAAAGTCTGAAATCTAAGTAAATTCACTACCTTCAGTACCTTTCAGTAGTCTCGACAAAACAAAAATGGTGAAATCTGAAATAAAAAGCAATGCTTTTAATTTCATTATTAAGATCAGAATCCAAGCATACAGTTCCCAGTGTAGATACAACTTGAGAAAGGTGAAGTGTCGGTGTTTTGAAAATAACTGTCAGCGTTTTCATCCAACTCCCCTAGAAAGCGGAAACTATGTGTTCACTCTTTAACCTGGTCTTTAGTGGAACCTAGAAAATCCTATGTTTCGTTAGAGAGAAGGAAAAGAGATAGACTGGAAGATATATGTTAAGCAGGACTCGAGTTCCCAGACAGACAGATTATGGAAACTAAAGATTTGAACGGAAACTATTAGCTGTCCAATTGCAAATGAGCGATTACAATATACAAAGTTTGGAACTAATTCTAACCAATCGAATTTTTAAATTTCTAGCACAGAATACCTGAATTTATTCAGGTGTGGGGCATCTTGATAGATTCATTAATAAACACTACTTGGATGAATCATTCACTTATTTTGTTTGCTATGGTCAAGTATCTCTAAAAATATAAATATTAGGGCAGCTGTGTATGATCTGTAATGTCTCTTGGAAATCAGCGTATCTGCAATATGTATTTATTGTGTTTTCAGATGCAGCAATTCACATTTCCTTGTGACAACAAAAGTACTTTGAGGGACGATTTTTGTTGAATGACTTAATTATTATAGCCAATATTTATTCCTAATGTTCCGAGTGGAACACATGGCTTCACCGATACATCTCCATTAGACTGGATTCTCGCTTTTCTTGCTGTTAGAGTCTTTTGTTAACTATCCTCTCTAAGAAGCCGACCTTGAGTGTCAAGAGAAGATATAAAGCCTGCTAGAAATGCTTTCAGTAATGTTCTGAGACATCAGGAGGCATTAAGCTTGCGTTGGTTTCATCCATGCTGACTGTAGTTACAATGAGGCTTCGTGAACAGAATCTCATAAAGCAGTCCAGATTGCACAATATCTTTGACCTGAACGAAAGCATATTAATTAATTTATTAGATATATTACAAAGTAAATTATCTGAAGTAATATATGTATATATATGTATCAGACAAGTGAGAAAAGTAAATTTGCTCTGTCGATAAAATCATCTTCTGAGGCTGTAAAATCGTATTTATATCTAACAAAAATCTATGGTAGTCCATTAATGAGTAATAGGGGGGTGACGTAATTATTATGCTTATTCAGAAGTGGCTTCGAAAGTAAAACTGTAAACTATGTAATACTGAGAGGCGAAAAGAAAGAAAAGGTTCGAAATTTGATAAGATTAAAATTTGTACTGAGTACGAACACTATACGTAATGGTTAACAAAAGTATATTGCAGTACAATCACTGAATTCTCGAGCACTTGGTGAACTCAGACTCCACAGCTCAACCAGAGTCGTCTTTTACAGTTATCTACAAAGTGAAACTGAGTGGTACAAATGGCGTTAGATTTCAACATTTGTACATCATGGAGGCTCCAGTGATTCTTCAATACAACCCCAAACTCTATTCCTTTTAGTACATTTTCTCGCCCTCTTCACACTTGCTAAATGGACACTTAACTACCTTTACTGTCACTCACTAATAATTTCAATCTTATCAGGTTTCTAATTCATGTTACTTTCTTTGTGCCACTGAG